TTTCACGCTATTCGAGCCGTGGACACAAGCGGGCAGAGTCGCGGGCAACCAAGGGGCGCGGAGAGAGACAAATAGGCAGGCAGAAAGCAAGCTATCGCGGCACGGTAATCCCAGGCGTGTTTTCTGGGTCGGTTGCACCCAGGATTGCGGTGGCCGGGGTGCATTGTCTCCGCGAAATACGGCCGCGGAAGAAACGAAAATTATGCCCATCCCCGTCCTCCGTCGCAGAAATGCTTTATTTCCTGTGCCGGCTGCTGTTTCCTCTTTCACGCGCTCCTCCTCTTTCCGTCCAACCGACCGGAGAGACTGCCGACGAGGTCATTTGCCTTTACGTGCAGTCATAAAGGTCCCAGACGTAACGCTGCCTCGTTCGCCCAGAGAACAGATCTTTCTCTCTGTCTTGTCTTCTCTTCGGGAACCGAGAGAACGATGGTACAACGAAACGACCGCGCAAACACCGGGAACAAAGACGAAGCGCGAACGGCAGAGGCGATCCGCGTTTTCAGGAAACAACCACCCTCGTCTCGAAACGGTTAAGACGTCGACTGATAGACGTCGACCAACTACCCAGGAAACGACGATGGAGCGCCGAGGATCAAACGAACAGTCGCGTGCCACGGGATCTTTACTCTTTTTCGGATGCCCCTAGTTTTGCTCTTCTTCCGGTTACTGACACTTCGGGCTTCTTCTTTTTTACACCCTTAGCACGGAATGGCACACTTTCAACGTTCTTCGAATTCCTGCATTTTCCCAGCTTCAACACTAAAACTACCAGAAAGGACCATTTTACAAGTTCTCCATTTTACCTTAATTTGTTAAGACTATTTCTTTAGAATCTCTAATCTTCATGAAAGTATAGAATTAACTCCTGGTCGTACCTTGATGAATCTCACTCCTGACACTCACAGCTTTTCAACTTGAAATTTAGGTCTAATTACAATTTGTATAGTCAAGAATGCTGAATATAAAGTGCACCCAACATTTTATTTATCTTTGTATTTTTTTTTAATATTTTTAATTTCAGAGTAAGTGTGCATACCGGTAGGTTTAGTGTTAAATTTTGAAATTCCTAACCTAATCTCCCTCAAAAAATATTTACTGTCCCACTAACTTTCACGCTACACCTTCGTTTTGCAACCATATCGCCGTACGCGTTTTCTCATTATAAGTTGCAATGCAGTCGAGTCCCGATCGATCGATAGCGACTACGAGTCCGTGGTAACGGGATTACCAGGGAAATTTAAGAATTAAGCGTGATTCCGTTCCGTATCGAGCTGACGCTCGTCAGGTTGAATTACGACCGGTAATACCCCTGCGGAGGTTAAAACTATTCCTCCAGCTGGAAATCGAATTTTTAGCGAGCCGGTGAAGTATCGAGGGTATTAATTAAAACTGCAAATTCTTGTTCGCCACCAGACGCGTCCGAGGATGATGGGAATGTGGCCAGGAGAGGACGAGGAATGATCGATAAGCGCACCAACTATCGACGATGTACGGTCAAAACAAAATGTTCTGTGAGCGAACCTTAATTTTAAATAAAAAACTGTGAACTTTTTCTAGCAATATCTGATAATTTTGTGTAACAGCTTTTCGAATATTGGTGGTATAATAAGGTTATATATGGTAATATCTATCTTTGGGTATTTTCTTCTGGTTAGCTTCTTTGTTATATCTTTGAAATTTCGAGGGGAAATTAAAAATTTGTCTTTAGGATGATTTATGTTTCTGTAGTTCAAAATTTCTAATTTATGAAATATTTAAGTTCATAAATACCCAGATTCTCAGATTCCTAAATTCCCGAATTCCCACATTGTTCAATTCTTACATTGTCCAATCCCCACATTATCCAATCCCCATATTCCCCAATTCCCAAATCCCCAAATCGCCCAATTCATAGATTTCCAAACATTCAAATATCCAACCTCAACTGAATTCCCAAATTTCTAAACTGAACCCGAACATTTCCAAATCCGTCGCCAAATATCTATCTCTCAAATATCTAAATCGACGTCTATACTCCATCATTTATTCGGTCTCTCGATCCGTAGAAAGTCGCAGCCCGGGTCGATATCGAAAGAATTTCTAAGTTTTCTGCTCGGTCGGTCCAACGAGACCAAGTGCCAACATTGATCGTGACTGCGAGTCTCCCGTGCCGGTGCTTTTCTGAGCGAATTTTCAATATTTAGAAAGAAGCACGGCGAGAAGAGTCGGTAGCGAAATCACATAGTCCTCCCCATCCCGATCCGGCGAATTCTACGAGCGTTCCCGTCCGTTTCCAGAGTCACTGTCTGTATTTTACCTACCGAAAAGAAAGCGATGGAAAAATCGTAAAGAGCCGAACTACGTCTGAACTTTCCACATTTTCTCGCGGAGCAGATGAAATGGTCGAAGCGGCGCGTTTAATTCGCGGAGGGACGAGATTTGTCCTGGGAACCGGTTACCGGAAATCGTCAGGTATCGACTCGAGCAGCGAATTTAATAATAGAAAAAGTTTCTCGTATTACGAATTTAACAAGAAACTCCGGTGCTCTCTAAAGTTTCCCATCTTCCGTTGTTCGGTTTCGTTCGATCGGGAGTCCATGTCAACCGGTGGACTTCTACGGGGAAGTCGATATGTGAACGCGTTCGAGAGCTTTGAACGTAAGTTGATCTTCTCCGGTTTCCCTTCCGATCAAATCGTTTAATTAATAGAATCTTATAAGAGCTGTTACCTCTTTGTCTGATATTGAATGAGACTCTATTGGCTTCTTCATTATAATAGTAATTATCGTTGAACGCTTTCAGTTTTCAGAAAACGGAGGATAGAGTCGTCAATATTTACCCTCCTTCTAGAGCAGTTCTGTAACTTCCATTTTCGAACAAAAACCGTTTTGTTTTCTTTCATTTTACTGTGTATTCAGTACTTTCCGGAAATTGTGATTTTTCGCGAAATGACTTGTGAATTCATCAATTTTAATTTCAATTATTAAGCAAGGATAGTAACATTAATTCTGTTGCGAATTCACGGCTGCATTTGATGCTGAATGAATAAAAATTCAGTGGGTTGAAACGAGGCTAGGTGAAAAAATGTAGGATCATTCGCGTGTGCAGAATAATTCAGAAACATAAAATGGCTACTATATTCATAGTCACTGTGTACTGTTTTACGAACCAAACATGATTAAATGTCCCAACAATATGTAGAGTTTTTCCAATCTTCTTTCCAGAAGTATATTTGAAATTTCAATGGGAATCAGAATTCTCCACCTAACGTTGCACTGCGTCATCGAGGGAATTCATTATTAAATTGAATAATTCTCCGATGAACCGTACAGATCAGCGAACGAGCTTTCAGTTTACCAAAGTTTCTCGATAGATCCTATCACAAATCTTGCCATAGTTCGACGTCGATGTTCTCATCAAATTTCCAGCTTGTCGATGCAGAATTTCGCTTCTATTTTACACGGAATCGCACCTGGATACTCTTCGTGATTCTAAAGAAGGCGTATGGATCTGACTCGCGAGTGTATTCATTCTATAAATAAATTTGTACAACCATCGAATATTACTGAATTTTATTTTATTAAACTTCTGTTAAAAATTCCAACACGATCTGCTCTCAAATTAAATTCCAAATGTGTCACCAAGTATATTACCCTAATTACAACTGGTAACTGTACCACGAGACAAAAAAGAATTAAAAGTGAAAATTAAAGTGCATTCTTTTCATCTCTGAACAATATGTACATTTTTGTACCTGCACTTATACGCGTTCGAACAGTTTACGGGATTCCTAAGCGAAATATTATACGGTAGCGGAAAACAGCCGCGGGACAGCCGGATATGCGCGGCCAGGTCTGTGTTTTATTGCCGGCACGCTTGGATAAATATGCGGACGCCTGTGCCACGACCTTCTACTCGGCCGTAAAAATGATAAAGAAGGGTATCGGCTGCCGGGACAGGCTGAAATGTAGGAATACATATGGAAACGTCCCGTCGCGACCCTTTCTATGTCCGAAATCAATGCCAGAAATCCATTTCGTCTGTCGCGAGCGTTTTCAAAGATGTTATCGCGTAGTTTCCCTCGCGAACTATCTGTTTTTTGGCCGCTTTCGTCAACGGATTGATGGATTTCATATTTTTCAAGCATAAATTATTTTAAATTTGAAGGGTTTTATGGGACGTATGGGGTGAATTTAGGGGTTCTCGTTATATTGCCGAATTGTTCCGAAATGGGGTTTATGAATTTGGGGAATCGGGGAGGTTGGGGATTTGGGGAATCGGGAAGGTTGAGGATTTGGAGAATTTAAGATCTACAGAATTTGGAATTTGGGGTATTTGGGATTTGAGGAATTTGGGAAATTTGGGATTTGGGAAATTTGGGATTTGGGAAATTTGGGATTTGGGAAATTCGGGATTTGGGAAATTTGGGAATTTGAGAATTTTGGGAATTGGGAAATTTGGAATTTGGAAAATTTGAGATTTGGAAAATTATGGATTTGGGAAATTTGGGATTTGGGTAATTTGGGATTTGGAAAATTTGGGAGTTGGAGAATTTGGGATTTGGGGAATTTGGGATTTGGGAAATTTGGGATTTGGAAAATTTGAGATCTAGAGAATTTGGAATTTGGGGTATTTGGGATTTGGAGAATTTGGGATTTGGGGAATTTGGGATTTGGGGAATTTGGGATTTGGGGAATTTGGGATTTGGGGAATTTGGGATTTGGGGAATCTGGGATTTGGGGACTCTGGGATTTGGGGAATTTGGGATTTGGAGAATTTGAGATCTAGAGAATTTGGAATTTAGAGTATTTGGAATTTGAGGAATTTGGGATTTGGAGAATTTGGGATCTAGAGAATTTGGAATTTGGGGTATTTGGGATCTAGGAAATTTGGAATTTGGGAAATTTGAGATCTATAAAATTTAAATAAACTAAAAAGTCCATAAATTCCCTCTCCCCATCTATCACTCACCCCCACAATAATTCCCCAAAACTAACATTCTCTTTATCTACTTTCAGACCAAATCACCAAAGATGTACTGAAACTCCACCAGTTCCCGATCGGTGAGTACCTCTTTCTCCCTCCTACACATTTGCCCGTGACAAACCCGAGGCGACCAATCCTATTTCTTCACAATATCAGCTTTAAAAAATGCTCGAATCGGGCAAAAGATTTGTTGAAATTTGCAAAAATCTCGGAAACTTTTCTCCCGGCATGTCTGTAGCCGGTTTTCCCGGGGAATATTCTCCGGCTACTGTCGCACCGGCTGCACGGTCGTCTTCTCATGAATTTCATAAAGTTTCATCCGTCCTGTACATTGGAAGTTTCACGGGAAGCATGAAAATTGGCGGCCATTCGAAGCTCGCCTAAAGCTCGGTCCAAATCGAAATCTAAGCTGTGGCATCGATATACGGCACCGGGGGGTGACTCGTACGATAAATCCCGGCCGCTTTTCTCACCCTGGAAAATGGGGTTACGAGATGCGGCTGCGACCGAATCCAATCAACTTACCTGAGAGACTTATGACAGGAATTTCATAAAACGAGGAGAAAAAGGGCCACCTTTAGGCGACGACGAACGGCCGCCATGATCGTTCAGACGATTCTCTTCCTCTTTGTTCTGCAAGCTTTAAGCCACACTCTTAATCGAATTCCGAAGGTTTTATCTTCGATCGAGTGCATTATCCGACGACCAATGGTAATGCCGACAAAAGTAAAAGGGAGTTAAACTGCCTCGAACCCTTTTCATCGATCTTATCAATCTAATTTTGTGACTTCAAACGTCACTGTCGATCGTGGATTTTTTGTGGTATGTCGCCGAAATTGCTGCTTCAAATTTCCGGTTTTTCAAAGGAAAGATAGGGGTAGATATTGTTATTGCTCTTTTTATTCGTTAGTTTGTACAACTACAAGATTTATATACAGTATTTTATATTACAAGAATGTTAGCTACTTTCTTTTTCAAGACCAGGTCACCATTTGCTATCATTTGTAATAGAGTTGAATCAAGTAATGTATTACATAAGAAAATAATTCGTTCACAATGATGAATGATACAATAGCGACGGTTCTGCATTTTTGGCGTAGAGTGGTATATTCTGATTTCGCGTAGAATTCGTCCCTTCGTTTTACAGTAATAATCACCCTCTGTTCCCTATTCGTTCGCTGAATCATTCATGTCGCTGAAGGGGTCAGGTCTGGTGGAGTGTTCATCAGCTGCCGTGCGATTAACGTGCATTAGTCTGCCGGGCAACTTTGCGTCCCTGAAGAGGACAGAAGTGGCCTTCCGTGTAACGAGGATGTTCCGAAACACTACGCCCACATGTAGTGTGTTCTAGTGACGCTCTTTCTGTCTCTTTTGCGTTTAGTGGTCGGGAATTTCTTTCGTTATTAAATTCCTGTTCATTCAACAGTTTTGCAATTTCAATGCAAGCTCTTAAATTTTCGAACTTTTCAATTTTTCAACTTTTTAATTTTTCAAGTTTTCAGGTTTTCAGGTTTTCAAGTTTTCAAGTTTTCAAGTTTTCAAGTTTTCAAGTTTTCAAGTTTTCAAGTTTTCAAGTTTTCAAGTTTTCAGGTTTTCAGGTTTTCAAGTTTTCAAGTTTTCAAGTTTTCAAGTTTTCGAGTTTTCATGTTTTCAAGTTTTCAAGTTTTCATGTTTTCAAGTTTTCATGTCTTCAAGTTTTCAATTTTCCAATTTTTCAATTTTTCAAGTTTTCGATTTTTCAATTCTTTCAATTCTTTCAATTCTTTCAATTCTTTCAATTCTTTCAATTCTTTCAATTCTTTCAATTTTTCAATTCTTCTACTATTCAATTTCTCAATTTTTTTTCAATTCGTCAATTCGCTAAATCATGAATTCATTAATTAATCGAGTTATGAAGTCATGGACTCATCAAGTCATCAGTTCATCAGTCAATGAGTTAATCAATTCATTATTTCAACAGTTCCTTAATTCATCAATTCATCAATTCCCCAGTTAATCAGTGAATCAGTCTTCAAATTTCCTAACCTCCCAGTATGAAAATTTGAAATTTGGATAATAGCAGAGATTACAACGAAAGATTGAGCAGGAACAGAATCAGGAATTCTTAATTGATCATGACGAAAAAGTATTTCGAGGGAAGAGAAGGCAACAGAAGCTTTCCTCAAAGAAAGGAAGACGGGCTTTTAATCCTCGCGCTGCGAGGCCAGCAGCTTATAAGCGTGTAGCCATGGCTGCGAAAGCTCGAGACAATGGCACCGAGTCGTATCGTCGGCTTCGTGCTTCGAAGAGGAACGGAAAGCCGTGCGAAGAAGAGATTTAACACGGAATAAGACGATTAAAGCTTAGCTTAACGCCTTCGACGTTGAAATGCTGTGTTTCTGCTTCCCTTCATTCGATGCCAATTTTAAAACTACCGTATCGCTGTAATTCAACCATTTACGAGTTTATGACGGATCCTTTTCCACATAAACCATTAATTACAAACGACTTTGTTTATCAATCAAGCCGACAAATGCACGGAACTGTCGATAAACACCAGCTACGAAACATCGTTTTCGAGCAAAAATGAACATCGGTCGTTAAAATATTGTAAAATGCAAACTGCAGTTACATTATCGAAAATGCGAAACACCGGAAAATGTGTAACTGAAAATTATCGTCGAAAATAAAAGCGGCGATTTATTCAATCGTAAATACGAAAAATATTTCAAACGAATAATCCCTTGGTCACGGCGGAACTACATTTTCGATGTTCGATTCAATCGAACGTTAATGGCCCCAGAATATTGACAAATTATCGTTGCCTCCTGAAAGAACGCCGCTGATTAACGAGCGTGTTCCAAAGATAGCTTTCCATTTTTTGCTTCATTAAGCATTAGTAATCAGCGATACGTAGATACGGGAGCATCCCTGTGTAATCCTCCCTCGGTCCACATTTGTCGATACGTCATTAAATATTTTCCCCAATATGGTATTTATGCTGCGGCCGGCTGTTGAATATGCATACACGCGGTATCTGCATATTTCACACGTATCAAAGTTTCGCGGGACCGATCGATCGATCGATCAATTATCCTGTTCGCGATTTCCTGCGGGGCGAAACACGCGTTTCGCAAACTCTTTACAACGACTATACCGACAAGATTGTATGAGTGTCATTAGAATTTCCTAGAACTTTGTTGTACGAAAAGAGAATTAGTCTGAGTCTACTGTTTCGGGACTGAAATTGGTACAAACTGTCAAGACTCATGCTATTGACATTATATTAATTATTTCGGTAGTTGGTAATTAAAATGTTAGGTATACATTGATTGTATGTAATTGATATATCAGTAAGATGCAGTAGTTATAATGTATTTGACTTCTAAACGTGTTAATACTTTGTCACATATGGATGACATATGTGACCATATGTGTTATGTTTGCACCATATGAATCTATCACCTGCATTATTAAAAATTTGATCACCTATCTACTTGCAAATATTTGCAATTACTTGGAACTATAAATAGTAAATATAATATAAAATAATAAAATGTTATTTGGTATGATTAAATAAAAATTTGTACTCCTTCAGTGTGACAGTCAACAGATCAAATATTGATGTACAAGGTAATTAAATTACATAATCTATTTACAGTGTATCTCCAATAAACTCTCCAGCCTTAGTCTTCACTCAGCATAATCAATTTATATTAAAAAAAAATGTACAGTTAAAGTGTGAAAGTTGAAAGAGCCGACGTACTGCAATCGATATGAAGCCCTGGTCAGAATATAGCTTTACCAGTAGTACATATCAACCATTGTTCGGACTACTCTTTCCCTACAAGTAGTAGACGTCAAGCATTAGTCGAACACTCGATAGTCCCGAAGTTCAAAGCACTCAAAGTGGATTTTCAAAACTGTTCTCCGTAATTCGTTTACGTATTCGTGATAGAATTATCCTCGTGCTTCGTGCACCCGTCTGTATGCAGATTCTTGGCAAAAGGCAAACAACCTACAGAGAAAATAGAAACTACTGGAAAAGGAAACGTTTAATCGGCTTCTGTTCCTCGTTTCAATTTCGTTGCTCCGTTTCTGCTAGCAATTCTCTCTGTTACTACTCTGTTTGAATATGTCCCGCTGTCGATGGCGGACATTTTCGACTCCTCGATTGAACATCCTCGAAATTTCGGTACCGTTAGGAGGAAAGAGTCGGAGGAATTATATGAATTTGAGGTGGTGAAATTTTCGGTGTTATTGAATAGTTCTTGTGAGGATAATAGGGAGGATAGTGGTGATATTAGGAAAATTATACAGAAAGTATGGTTGATTTTGGTGAATTGGTATGTTATGGGACATATGGACGATTTGGAAATTTAGAAATTGTCACATTTAGAAACCTAGAAATTTAGAAATCTTGAAATCTTGAAATTTAGCAATCTGGATATGTAGAAATCTATCAATCTATCAATCTATCAATCTATCAGTCCATCAATCCATCAATCTATCAATCTGCAAACTTAAAAATTGAAAACCTTAAAGTTAAAAAGTCTCCTGTCCCAACTAAAGCAGCAAACATGTCCATAGCACTCTCCATCCAAAAACCGAACCATTCATCCAAAACACTCGAGGAACGTCCGAAATAGTTAGACACCTCAGTTCCCTCGAAGTCGTAGCAGTGGACAAAACACGAATATAGGTCAGTTAGCAGTAAGACGTATAAAGTACGCTTGACACCAGAAACTTGCAAGATATCCAATATCTAGGAATAGGGTAAGTATTCGTAGGATATAGTAGTCGATAATAGAGAATCTTGCTAATAATGTGACCCGAAGATTACACAGGGGCGCTTTTGGCAACGCGTACTTTCCCCACGAAGCAATCACCCCTCGGATAGAATCACCTACCTTCTACTTCCTACTATCTCACCGCCATTGCTGGCTCACTGTGGCGAGATAAATTTTACAAATCGCCCGCGGCACGATGTTACACGATCCTGCGTTTTACCACATTATTATATTACCCACGCCTCTACCGGGCGTCGTTGCAGACGTAATATAAGGCAAACACACACGGCTGTTGATAAATGAATTTT